AATACAGTAAAATTCTATCCTCCCCGAAAAGAAATTCAAATCCTATCACCGATGCAATCAGGTCCATCCCGACACTGATTTGCCTTCTGTCGACTTCTGCAAACGGGTAAGCAAACAAGACAGGTTTTCTCTGGGGGGCAAGGAGCATGATCCCAGGATTGGTCTCCCGGCAGGCCAAAAACGTTACGGGAGAATGAATCCTTGCTTCAGATCCTGCTTCTTAGAAGAGCATCAAGCCACGGAGGCAGTTCACACCAACAGTGAATCCCAGGTTTGTCCAGCTGCTCCAGCTGGGAAGAGGAAGCACGTGTGGGCACTCGCTTGATTCGAACGTTACACCAGAATTCTATTTCGGATGTCTCAAACTCCTCACTGGGCACGCCGGCCTTTCCTGAGTCAATTTCTAGCTAACATCCCAGGTCAGAACATGCCAGCGGTGAGGGGCACGGGTAGATATGGTGGGAGACTGGAGTGGACCGTTCTCGGGGAATGCGGGCCTGGTGTCTTATGCTGGTTCCATGTTCCGGCTCTCCGAACTCAACCCGTGCCCGGCGGGCAGACCTTCAGAGGCCCCGGCTTCTGGCTGCCACTATTAAATGCCAGGCCTCCCTCATCTGTGATTTAATCACAGATGAGAGGGCTGACCTGGCACGTATTACCGAGACCTGGCTGCGATCAGAAGGGGGAGGGTTCCCCTTTCAGAAATGTGACCGGTTGGGTTTTGGGTGTGGCATCAGCCGAGATCTCAGGGCAGGAGCGGCAGTGTGGCAATCGTCATCCGAGAGCCTCTTAAGGCTTTCAGGGGTGCTGTTCCACAGGTCACTGGATGCGAGACCCTGTTATTAAGACAGGCTCTAGGGATCAGTTGGGGGTGTTGCGGTTGTACCAGCCTCCCTGCTGCCTGGCAACCTCCCTGCCTGAGCTCCTTGACGCCACCTTGGGGTTGGCAGTGGAGTTCCCCAGGCTCATGGTTCTGGGGGACTTCAATCTGCCTTCTCTTGGAGTGGGATCTGAGGTGGCTTGGGAGTTCATGGCTACCATGACAGCCATAGGCTCATCCCAGATCATCCAGAGCTCGATACAGGACAGCGGCCACACACTGGATTTGGTTTTCCTGTCGGAGCAGTGGCAATGTGATCCGGCATTGGGGGAACTTTTAGTATCCCCCCTGTCATGCTAGACCATGACCTGATGACCATGGGATTCTCTGGTGCTACTATCTACCGCAGGGAGGTGGGACCTGT